GGGGGGGGGGGGGGGGGTGGAATTATGAAGAGAGGAACTGGAAAGAGGGGAAGAAGTTCCAGGACTCAAAGCAGAAGTGTCAGAGTCAGAAGCCCTCCACCCTCCTTGGCAAAAGTTGTGCAGTAGGTATGGATGTGATATCTTCCCTAGAAGACATCATCTTTATGCCTTATTTTAATTAGTTTCACCCATTTGAACTGGTTCTTGCAGTAGGATGAAGAACACCTCCCAGTCTCTTTCAGACCATCCTCCTAAAGCTTCAAAACAGAAGGAGTACTCAGGCTGGGCAGCTCATTTCTATTAAAAAGGCAAAACTTTAGCACTGATGAAAAACAGATGAATTTTTTCTCCCTCTCTCTGAAACAGTTACTCTCTTTTACTGATGTGAAATGACGTCAATATTGCCTATCCTATCCCCTTGGAGAGAAGGGAGAGAGGAGGAGATGGAAGGAGGGAGCTGGGAGAAAGAGCTAATGAAAAAGAGAAAGAGCGAGCAGGGAGAAGAAGGAAAGGGAGGGGACGGGGAGGAGAGAATGAGAAAAAATATCCTACACTTTTTGGCTAAAATTCCACAGAGTGGGCAAAACAATGCAGGAGAAGACTGTGATTGATAGGACACCTTTCTCTACTCTCATCCGATCTACATATTCTAACATATGGAAAGCTTACAGGCCCTGTGCACTTATAGAAACCGATAATGCATTAGCTCTCAGCAATATTTACAGCACCACTTTTAATACACACCAGATGGTTCGCGACTGTGCCGCCTCAGCCAGCTCACTCCTCGATTTTACTCGGCGGCACTTTGTTGCAATTACGCTCCATGCTGAGACCAATTTTATTGGTGACCTATTTTTCATATTTGCAGCATTTTATGTTAAAAACCTCCTCTCTGGCCTTTTTGTAAAGGGCAGCGCTCGGGAAGGGAGAGCTTAGGAGGACGGCGGGGCTGTCTGGGTGGATATTAATATTTATCATGATGTTACATACCTCGGGTTTAAGTGAGTAAATCGGATAGACATAAATAGTCCGGTCATTACGTTTGTTCACTCACCCCCTGTTTGTCAGACCCCCACGGACTGTCTGCACGGCGCGCTTGCTTCAGAGTCAATACATCGGACCATAAATATTGTATTCCATTCATTATCACGCCACTGGCTTATCCTGGGCGCCGGCATCCTCGAGCGACGCAGGGCAAATGAGGACGCTTCCTGAGCGCGTTTCTAAACTGGGAACCCCGCTGAAATTTCCGCGGTGCCTGGGAATTCCTAGAGCCTGAGCGCCTGGCTCAACTCAGGCTGGGCCTGGGGCTGGCGTGCGGGGGAGGGGGCTGCGGCGGGCGCAGGCCGGACGCCGCCAGGAGTGCTCAGTACCTGTTATCTTGCTACGCAGAAGGCCGCAGGGAGAATCCCATTTGGCACGCTGGGAAAGGCTTTCAACTTTATCTCCCGCCACGTAAATATCCCCGAGTGCCCGACTAAGGGACTTTATTTTGCGCAGAACAATATAAATACCGTATTTGCTACAGCGCAGGTGTGTTCTTTGCCCCAAACTCTCTTTTTTTCCCTCGTTTATAGTAACCCTTTATACCCCCTTCCCCTGGTGAAAAAATCACAGATGTTTACTTTATTGATACAACCTATATACCATGGTTAGGCTGAGAATAATATGCCTCAACTAACAGTCATTTAGCAAATAATAAAGGCGTTCTGGATGCTTTCCAACGTTACACATGTACTTGGTCATAAAATGATACGTGAAAAAATTAACATCTGCTTTCCTAAAATAAAGTGTGCCAAGTAGCTTTTTATGAATGCTTTCCTCATTTTAAAAAGAAATATGGAGAGATAAACTGGCACCCAGATGTATAGCATATTTATAATGGTTTTAGGATTTAAAGGTAGCTATTCATTGCACAAGCCATTTAAAAACTGACGGTTTAAAAGCTACTTAACCCCAGACATCTTTGAATCCTGAAGAGTCTTCCAAATTTTATTATTTAAAGAGGAATTTACTGTACTTTATTTGTGTATCAAGGCAGAACTATGCTCAAGTCAGGGCACTGCAGCCTGAGCTCAACAGAAATTCCAACTCGCCTTTATTTACCTAATTTCTCAGCAAGGTTCCCAGGCCCTTAAGAAGGCAGAGCTGGAAAGTTTAGTTGGGCTCTTTTTTTGTTGTTGTTTAATTCCACTATTAGGAAATGAGGCCTACCTTTGAATTATTTCATTAGGATTTGGCCTTTTGGGGGAAGGGGTGGGAACCATAATCATTAGTGGCTTTTTATTATTTCTACAATAAATGGCTAGATTCTTTGTTGAATAAGCTGCTTGAATGTTTTGCAGATGTTCCACTTAGACCAAATCTGACCCCCTATTTCCTCCCAAATAAGTCGCTTAAACTCTCCCACCAGTGCGTTTACTCGAGAGCACTCCTCCATCCTGGGAAGTTAAGAAGTGTAGGACATATTCTTATTAAATTCCCACCTAACTGCACACATGCTACACACACATACATTTAGACACACTCCCACTCCCACCCACCGAGCCTCTGAGCGTGGCAGAGGGTAAGAGAAGAGAAAAAAAAGATCAGAAACTGGTGAGGCGGAATGGAAAGGCGGAGGGAAGTAAGCCCTATGGTTACACCCCTGTACGGAGGCGTACCCTCCCTGGGCCCCTCACCCCCCTCCGAGCCTTCGGTGTGAGACACTGGGGGTGGCCCAGGTCTGCTTCCCCCAAAGCGCTGGGTATCTGGATTTGCGAATACTGGGGCTTTCCGCCCAAGGCGTTCGGGCGGTGCTCTGAGCTGGGCCAAGCGGGCTAGCCCCGCAGCGCTCCCTGAGCGCCCTCCCGCAGCAGTGCGCCCGCCGAGCGGCCGTGCGTGGGCCCCCAGGGGCTCAACAGAGGGCTCCCAGGGCTCGGGGCGCGCGCGGGACGCGTCGCGGGCCCGCCGCGGGGAGAGGTGGCCAGCCCGGCGTGCAAGGTGGCGTCTCCGCAAGAGAAGCGCGGCCGCCCGGGGACTGCCGCGCCGGGCCGCACCGCCGGGCAGAGAAGTATTTGTCTGACTCCACGTTGGAGAAGTGGCACCTCTCCCCTTTCCAGCTCTTACTTGAAAAGCACTTGGAAGAAATTGTGTGTGCGGGGAGGGTCGCGGGGTGGGCCGGGGCCAGGCTGCGAGGCTGGGTGGGGGGCGGCCTGTGGGTGGAGGGGGAGGAGGGGGAAGAAACAGCTCCTTTCTGAGTGACAGGACTCCTTTTCAAAGGGCAGAAAGGAGTAAAAAAAAAAAAAAAATCCTGGTATGAATGGGAGAATTTTCAGGGTTCCGCAGTTACTTTCCATCCTCCCCCTTTAAAGACAGAGATCTTTCTTTTTTTTCCCTTTTCTTCCCTTCCCTTTTTTTAGGTAGGAAGTGCCTGTGTAAACGTGTCTTGGAGTGTTTCAGGAGAAAGAACGGTCCATTAGCTTTAAAAAAATCTTCTTGGGTTGGTAAAAATTGCTGAAACGCTTGAACATGTGTTTGTGCACCGACTGGCCACAGAGGGTAAGTCAGCAGACAAGTGACGCCCTCAGACAGGGGTCTGCAGTTAAAGATGCTGTACTTGTGAGGGAGAGAAAGGGAGTGTTTTCAAAGTTCTCCCATATCCCAGTAACAAAACCTGGCACATCTTTACTTTTTACTAGTAAAGAGATAATGTCTTTATTTGAACACGTCTAAGGTGATTACTAGATGCCTGTGTTAGAAATCAGGTTGGGAGAAGAAAACTCACACACACACACACACACACACACACACACACACACACACATTTTTAAAAGCCTGCCTGTATTTATAACTTAATCTTAGAAACACTTTTATTATTTCCATTCTCAATCCCAGCTGCTTGTTGCTGTTGAAGGACCATGCCTTATAGAGAAGAAAATCTTTTTAAAAGATTTAAACCCGCAGTACTCAGTTGTTTGTTGTTATTATCATGATTATGATGGTTATTATGTCATCCCTCCTTTTTGCACTTGATCTGATGAGAGAACTTTTTTAAAGAGTGTGAAATGAAGGACACAAAGACAGTATATCAGTGAAAAGAAGAAAGTGGCCCTTTTAATGAGAACTAAAGAAAACCCAAATGTAGATGAAGTGTACCGTAAAAACTGCTTCAAAGTCCATCGTAATTCCCTTGGGCTCAGTCATCATGAACATGTGATAATTGGGAATTCTGCATGGAGGTAAGGTAGCCACGGGGTGGGGAGTCATGTAGATGCGCCTCCCGCCTTACAATTTCAAATGTATTTTAAACAAGACCTTGGAGATCTTACAGAACTCAGATTTGGCTACTTCACTTTCAAATATTACCTGCCCATCAAAGTAAAATTTTTTTTCTTCCTGAGTAACTATGCTCACTAAGGGAGCTTCATCTTCTGCCCCACCCTACTCCCCAGCAGGTTGGTATATGCTGGGCCATATTCTGGGTTTTGACTATTATTTTGTGATCGACTCTGTTTCATTTTCTATTTATTTTTGGACCCCAGCCTTTCTGGATCACAAAAGTCCCCACAAGCAACACAGCAATAAATCCAAGCAAAAATAAGACAGATTTCCTCATCGATGTGTAATAAAGTTAAAGGACATTGTTTTGTCAGACAAGCGCTAAGTAGAAAATAAATCTCAGAGTCTGGGGAAACAAAACAGAGCGCTGCTGGCATGTGTGTAAATTTACTTTTAAAAGCAATAAATCAATGTTAAATTAAACAGCTGGGTACCCTGTCTAGTCGAAGGTTCTGTGTTTAAGAAGACCTTGATGGGAGAAATGTGCTATTTAATGAGACACCAAAAAAAAAAGTTAAATTTTTATTGTGATCTGAGGCAGGACTGGCCTGGCAAGTTCTCTGAACTTCAGAAAGGAAGAGGGGAAAAAGAGACAGTATGGATTGTATCTAATTTCCAACCTCAGATCTTTACACGTTTTCAGGCATAAGAAGACAAGGAAGTTTCATAGCAATGTTTTAGATGTAGTGTAAACTGTCGATTAAGCTCTGACATCCTCTCTGTTGGCTTAGGTTTGTTGGATGGGTTATGACTTTAGTGGGGTTTTTTTCCTGTAAGTACTATAACCTGTAGAAATATTTTAATGAGCATGTTGAGCATATACTTATCTAATGCTTTCTTTATTCTCGTAGTGGTAGTTTTGCGCAGTAAATAGCATAGTAGAAAAATAGAGAACTGTTATTTCGTATACTATATTATGCCATTTTCAATGGGAAACAGACCTGAGATGATTGAAGTAGCATTTAAAACTCAACTGGAGTATTTTAATATTTATTATTTAAGGATTTTTTGTTTGGTTGGTTGTTTTTTCTTTTCTTTTTTTTTCTGAAAACTCTTCACTAGGAAAAACTGTGTGGGTGGGTGGGGGGTAGGGGACAGAACAATGGAAAACCTGAGCTCTGGCCCTGTATTCTAAGGGCAATGTGAACCGATGAGTCATCACAAAGGCAATATTCAATAGCAGGAAATTAGGAGTAGTTTAAGGCTAGATGTATGTACGCTGGATTTTCCCCCCAAGTCTTGAAGTGAAATTCCAGAAAGAGTCAACGGAGGTACTTTAGCAAGCAGACATATTGAGGTGAGCCCTCTTAGTCTTTTGAATTCAGATCGACTGGTTTAAAAGAAAAATATGAGGTTCTTGCCTATACAGAAACCAGCAGATTATTCTTTACTTTCTTCATATCACAATCTCAGAAGCTTTGGAACCAGTTGCACAGAATCTTTATAGTTAGGTAACAGCACTCAAACCTAAAAAATTCTCCTCCCTCCCCCGCAAGCTACAAACTAACGGGTTATTTGGCAGCATCCTAGCTACCTTTGACTTTTCTTCAGTCAAAGGAAATATCAAAGACCTGGTTGTCTGGAGAGGAATAAAGTTATACTATTTATATTTAGAAGGCAGCATTCGGTTTCCATGACCATCCGTGGCATGTTAAGTAAATCTGCGTCTTATGCCACTCAGAGATAGCTTGGCTTGCCTGTAAGGAGACGTCTGGGCAGTCTTGTAAACTCAGAATGACTTCTCAGATCCTGCTAGGTTTTCCCAGCGATGTGTATTGCTCTGCGCTGAGGCTCTGGGAGACATGTCAGCCCAAGGTGAGACTTTCAGGCACTGCTCTTTGTCCCCATCTGGAAAAGAAGGTGCAGAATTAGTTAGACTGGGCTGGTTTGGGGGTGATGTGGGGTGGGAACCGAACGGCCGCTTGTTCTAATTAGAGACAATAAGCAACCCTGTGAGGAGCTGTCCTTTAGCCTTAGCTTGAGGCAGAACAGGTCTGGTTTGTTTGAACTGGCTGGTATGGTGAAGAGCAGAAACTTGCAGGTAGTGCTGGGCTCAGGTGAGACTGGGCCTGTGGTTCAGTCGCAGCAAGTGCATCTCCAAGTCCCCTTTTGCTTTTCAATTCCCTGATCTCTGCGCTGTGTGCTTGACTTTGATTCTAACTTTGCTTGCTAGATGGCGCTCGGTGTCTCAGGACCCTCCGTTTCAGTATTAAAGCGGCTTTTTAGCACCGTTGTTCTCAACTAGTTGTGGGCATTTGATTATCATAGGGCTGGTAATGTTATCATTATCCTTGTTTTTGTCACCCTTGTTCACTTTTTGATTAAGGTAGCATCCAGGTGGGAGCTGCCCATCTTAATCTGTGTAATAATAAAATTTAGCGAAACTTTGCACCTGAATTTAGGGCACATTTATGGTTCAATTACTCGTTCTGAGGCATTTCAGAAAGCACTTTAGTAACTTTTCCTCCAGTAATCTGATTGAGGTTTTCAGGAAGAAGATAAATCAGCAGGTCCAGATGGTTATTTACAATCCTTGAGGTTTACCACCAGAGTCCACCTCCTGCTCCCACCACTACCATTCACTACCATTTCAGGATGAATTAAGCTGGTCTTAGGGAACTTACTACTTTCATTTATCACTGTAGTATATCATTAATGGATTTTTAAAGTATTAGAATTTGTTTAAACTCAAATACTGAAATTCATGTCCAAAAAGAGTTGTGTTTTAATATTAGTAATAAAAGCCACCACAGAGCTTGTTTCACATGAAGAATGATTTATGGATTCTAATGTATATTTATTTTAATCATTGGGTGATTCTTCTCACATATTCAAAACATTTTTTAGAAACTCCTTTGTGCTGAAGCACAAAGAGACAGAAAATCAATAGTTCTAAGTTTCTGATGGAAAAAATTAAGATGAGCCCAAAGGATTTGGATATTGTTTTGTCGAATGAAGATGTCACTTTGCCGGCACCTGCTGCTTTCATACCAATGTGTGTCCCTTGAAGAAAAGGTTGCCAGCGAGAAAGGCAAAAAACAAAAAACAAAAACAAAAAAACAACCTTTCAATGGACATTTTACAAACACTTTAGCAAAAGAGAGTTTAACTTGTTACTTGCTTTTCAGATTTAAGGAACTTATTTGTATAGAACTGTTCCACCTTTGGGAAAATCAGTAACACTCCGAGTTGGATGGTTTGGAAACCTTTTGTCAAAGTTTGGCTGCTTTGGTGAAGTACCCCGCAAAGTCTCTCTCTAGGTGTTAGGCTGAAACTAGCAGGCGCTGAAAACCTAAAGCAGAAAATTTACAACTTGATCAGCCCCAGCCACACACCAAAAAACCTGCTACTGGTGCAAACATATGTTCCAGATTAAGTTAAGCAAATGGCTCTCGTTTTCTCAGGGTTGAAAGTTGATCATGAAAATTCAAATTTGAGTGAGATGTGCTTCCAGTGGATCACTGGACCCTCAAGCACTGTTTGCTCAAGAGATTTCCTGTATTTTATAACTTGCTGGAGAACTTAGTTGAGAATCTCCTGAAAATTGAATCCAACCAAGTATTAGTTTCTGGGAACAAACATAGTTTTAAAAGTTGGATAAGTTGAAAACTAGGTATGTTCTTTCCTCTAATGTGCAACTGCTAGATAGCGAATGTGTAACTCAGTTCTTCTAATGCTTTGTCTATTTCCTCACATACATACTAACTTTAAAAAGCAAAAATTAAACTGTCAGATTTATTTTAAAGTTCCGTTAAAGTTTCATTCGCCAGAGGAGTGGGCGATTTATTTCACAGCATGAGAAAAAATAAAGGAGTGCTACCAAAGCCTTTAATTATGTCAGGAGAGACTGAAATCATGGCGTTTCTTTTAATGTGGGTAACTGTCTTTTGCAACTTCCCTGTGGTCGTCCAGCCATCTTCCAGCTCGATTATTTGAAGACCAGCTTAGCTACAGATGTCTTATAAGAAAATTTAGAATTAACTACCAACTCTCCAAGATAGCTAACTTCCTGGGCAGGTTGCAGAGATGCAGCCAGGCATATGACCTTCCTACTTAAATCACCGGAGTTCAAAGTCGCTCCCTAGTACCTCCCCAAATTTGAATGATCATCCTGCAGATTTTAACCAGTATTGTCATGTTGAAGCTTGGTAGTTATTGTTTATACTTCTACCCTCCCCAAGGGGTCTTGGCAAGTGTTTAACAGATTATTGATTTCCAAGAAACGAAATAAAGAAGCCTGTTCTTTTATAACATATGAAATACACACTTTTCTTTAAATAGGCAGTATGTTTGACATTGACAAATGGGCAAGAGACAAGGAAACTTATTTGAAAAGACTTTGAAGGGGAAAAAATGGATAGAACAGCAACAATGCCATAGAGGAGTAGGCTGGAATTAAAGGAAAAACTTAGATAACAGGGCTGGTGGTGGCTATCTGCTGTAAAATGGTTAAAAGTTTCAATAAATATACAGGTGGTGAGGAAACAGTGTTAGAGAAGATTCTTTCAGGGGGACCTAATCAGTATCAGTTTTGATGTATTTATTTATCTTATTGAGTTTTTTTGTACTTCTTTTCTTCACATTTTTCTCTGGCAAAGTGGTCCTGAAATACTGAGAATAACTCAGAAAAGTCTCGGAAAGAAGAATACATATATTTTTAAAGTAAGAAATTCCTGACAAATCAAACAGAGATATTTGCTACCCCATCCACCACCAGGTCATAAGGGAAATAATCACCAGTAAAGGAAAGAGATTCCCCAAAGCCCATATGGAGGAAACAAATGCTAGACACCCAGGAATTCAGGAAGTGCTATCTATTTCTTTCCAAATCTCTACAATTTCCATGCACCAACAAAGGAAAACCTCCTGTTTCCCCCCACATCTCGTTCCTTTTTTCTTGCTCTTGAACCTCTGGAAGGTGAGAATGAAATATTTTGTTTATCAAGATGGAAGCTCAGATCATGGAATGAGGTCGTGAAAAATATACCAGCCAAAAAGACATGCAAACATTATGGAGAAATTTTCAGTTGTGGGTTCAGATGTTGAAAGGTGGATCCCAGTCTAGAATAAGCGAGTCTCCCAGTCACTATTCAACAGGTCCCCTTTGCTACCCTACACCCTTCAGCTGCCAAACTGCGTCAATATGAGTTGTCCTCAGGTTCGTAGAAGGGTCGTGCCGCTAGTTTAAACAGTTGCCGGAATGACCTGAGTTTCTTTAGGAGCACGGACTTGTCTTAGAATCTGGGCAAAACGACTCGAGATTGCAAGAATGACCAAACCACGAGGAAAAACTCTTTGGGGAGGACCCAGAAGTGACTTTGCACACTAAAAAGGGGCAAAACTGTGTAAGCAGTGCTGTGTGAAAAAAGAGCCCAAATAGTGAATCTGTGAAATAGTTAATAAAATATTTGTGTGTTTTAAGGAATAGAAAAATAGAGTGAGTAATTCATGGAAAATTTTCTTTGCAATACTCTATCAAATACAAATACAGAACAATCTTACCCTGAAATGTATTGTAATTCACGTTACTATACAAAAGCAATTTTGAAATTGGTTTATCAAGGCTACTTTATAGGAAAGAAACCCTTTAATTTAAGACACCAGGGTTCTCTCCCTTTTTCGCTTTGTCTTTTCTGGTAAAGTTTGTATTAAGTTGGTTTGAAACTATTTTTGTACAATAGACACTTAATAGAAATTTGTTTTTGGCCATCTCACCTGCTCTAAATGTAGTATTTTTGTCCTCAAAGTCAGTTCAAGAGGGTAGATGACTAGAATAGGGTTCCTGTGGGAGGGAAGAGATTTCACTCAAAGCCCCACAAGTGAAGCGAGCTTCAGTAAAGCAAGGTGCAATTTGAAATCTTTAAAACCTGGTCTTGTCTTAGAAATGGTGACTTACGTGTTGCTAAGGGGATCATGCAATGAAAAAGATACCACATGGAAGTAATCCTCCGTTATTGTACTTTGCTTAAAGCGACAGTAAAAAAGAAAGCCTAAACGGAGACGAGTCGAAATTCAGAGCTTGGAGTTGAGGTCTGCAAGTGGGAGAAGAGGTGGTGGTGGGTACTGAGACAGACGCGCCCCTTTTTAGTGCTGTCAAGTAAGTTGCTGTCAGGCTTTTTAGCGCGCCTCCGGCTGGGCGCCTGGCTGCACAGCTCCCTCCCTCGGGGCGGTGATTAACCAGTACCTGGGCGCTCCCGACCGTTCAGACAGCTTCAGTCACCCGCAGAGCCCTGAGCCCAAGGGCCCGGTGGGGCTGGACCTCCTGAAGCACAGGGCTCTCGCAACTGAGATCACCAGCCTAGAGAGAATGCGCTCAGAGTGAGGATCTCTTAAACCCGGGCCAAGTAGATCTGGCTGCCTTCGGGGTGGTGGTGAAAAGTTGGCCAAATAAAAGTTGTGGGTGTAAGACTTCTTCCACAAAAATGACTGAGAGGGGCGCTGCATTCATCATAAAATAGATCCAAGTTCGGGAAGCAGGCTAAGTGGTGTGTCAACTCTGAGGCAGTCTGATAGCACTGGACATGGAGTAAGCACGACTCTCCGCCCACAGACTATACTTTTAAAACTCTTTGTGGCTTTGGCTCAGATTCTAGGATCTCAAGGGCCAGGTTCCTACGGTGAGGGAGTTGTCGAAGAGCGGAATCAGGCGAGCGCCGGAACCTCGGGGTTCTGGTGGCGGGGAGAGGGAAGCGGGTGGGGGGTGGGGGTGGGGGCGAGCCGGCCGCTGTCCATGGTGCTGGGAAGACGGCGGCGCCCTTTCTCTGTGCCCACACGGAGCTCAGGTGTAAAAAGGGGAAGAGAAACCGACAGCTCGTGCGGCTGGGAATTTTTCCTCCCCGCAAATGTGGAAAACATGCATGTGACTGCACAATTTAAACTGTATTTTAAGAGCGTTCTACTCTACTCAGTCTATACAGTTTAGTCAGACAGCAGCGTTAACTAGTCATCATAAGATGGTTTCCTCCTTAAAATGTTCCATATTTCAAAGTAATGTAATAATTAATTCTTGATGTACAAAGTAAAGAAGGTGGAAAGAAAAACGGTGATTTCAGATTTCAAACATATCCAAAGGAACTTAACTATTTCCAGATTAGATAGGATATAAAAGCACAGCATGAATTGCCTGTTACATGAGTTTATTGAGAAAGTATTAAAAATATATAGATCCCATTTCATTTAATTTTCTGAACTCCATGCTGGCCAAATGCCGCAGTTATATTTTTGTCAGTTAGAATAAAAGGAGAGATTTACCTATGTAGCGTGTGTGTGTGTAAATTTGAAATGGCTAAGATTTCATTCTAAGTTCTAAAATGGAACTCTAAGAACTGCATTCTCTTGAAACAAATTTCATGTCTTAAAAGGGGACCAGAAAGAAAGCAGGATGAAGAAATTATTTCAAAGTTAGGATAAGGAACTAAATAGACATATAGCCTACCTAGTAGGTAAATGACACTTTTATGGGGAAATAAAACCTTATACATGTATGCTTTTATACGTGTGTAAATTAAATTAAAAAAAGAAAAGTATATATATATGTGTGTACACACACACATATGTTTGGTCAAGCCAGAATTGTGAAAAATAAGAAAAAAATATCTTTATTGTGTTGATCTTGAAAATCTTAGCCTTGGCAACTGGAATCCATGTGACAATGAAGAAGGAAAAGGACAAGAATTTAAGCAGCTGACACAATGTTCAGCAGCAACTGACAGCATCTCATTTGATAGTTGATATCAAGCACTAGATCAATATTTGTGAGATCAATGCAATTTTAATGGTTTTCTTTCAAAACTGTATGAAAGCCAAATTGTGACACTCTCCACTAGGGTTATTTTTAGAGCTAGTTGTTCCAGTGGATGGTATTAAGGAATTTACTGAGGCAAAGCAAGGGCAAAACAAAAACAAAAAAGAAAATAACAACAAAAAACCCCCCCACCACAAACAAACCATCAATATTTCTTCACTTGATAACTCTTGATTATCTAAGTACCCAGAGAAGGTGTGAACATTTATTGGAAAAAAGCCATTTAAAATTATTATTTAAAAAAAAAGAAAAGAAAAGAAGCCTTGGAAAATTATTTATAGGTACATGAAGATCAACTGGGTCACAGATAGGTTTTCAGACACAATGGAATTAAGTGAGTAGAAAAAAAAAGAAAATGGTAAAACAGAAAGAAAACCTAGGCCTTTCAGCTATAGGGTCAATCCTCTCATGTGTGGAATTCAGTGGTAAAGAACAGATTTTTATGTGTCCCCAGCAGAGCAGAAACCTGAGAGTCCTATCTGAAGCTCACAGAAAGGTTCCCGCAAGGGTCAAATAGAGAAAAATAAGGTAATTAGATACATATATTGTCTTACTTTCAAGAGTTACCTTAAAAATAACATGCAAATTAATCTAACAGTCACATAGGTCCTTAACCTATAAATCTTTAAACAGTAATTTGTGGGGGAGGTGTCAACCTTTTATTTTTGTCTTTATTGCTTAGTCACACAGCAGCATTAACTCATTTGCTCACTCATTTTTGTTTGATAAAAATGCTAAACTTGTATTTATTTGTTTTTACAGATTCAATTTTGACGAATTTTCACCTAAAGGAATACAAGCTCTTCAGTCCAAACAGCAATTTGTGGAATGGTGCATAGGGATTATGGCTAGGTGAACATTTCAGAAAGGACAGTAAGAGGGTGAGATGTGATTGTAGATAGTGTTCCTGATGAGCAGATGCTTAAGTTTTTAGACTAAAAGAGATAAAAAATGCTTTTCATTTGTAATTCAACTTTAAAAACTTGGGAGAATTAGTTTCTTTTTCTCTTGAAATAGTAGAAACATTTCAGGAAATTTCTGATGCCTGACCTAAAGACCTCTCATTCTTCCTCAATATAGAGAATAAAATACTTCAAAACTACGCAATTTTAAAATTTTATTCCTTAATTTTTTCCTGTTTTTCTCAAAGAGAATTGCCTGATGAAGAAACTGTTAATACATTACAAACATACCACTTCAAATTAAAGGCACTGTATTATATATATGATCTTAAATGAAATTCATACCTACGTCTTTTTGCAGTAGAGTTAAATCATGCATCTAGTATGTTCTTTAACATTTTCCAGGATTTTAATAATTCCATAACAAACAGTCACTCCCTGCATGCGTCTCTATGCTCTATTGTGTTTCAAGTCTGGCAGATTGCCTACAAACTGAAGACACCAACAGTGTAAATAGATTTTTCTTTAATGAAATAAAGCCAACATGAATACACATTGCATACAAACAAGAGAATTTACAGATGCAAATAAACTTGAGGCATTAAAATACATATTACAATGCCTTGCAGAATTGCACATGAAACATTTAAAAGGAAATCATTTTACAAACAATCCTGGTGATCAACATATATTGAGTACCTACTGTGTTACATACTCTCTATGTTGTTTATTTCTGGTGGAAAGGGCATATGCACCCCCCATGGATGTGTATATATATGTGCATGTATATGTATATGTGTGTGTACACACTCGCATATATGCATATATACATATTTTTCTATTTAAAAAAACTCTGAGTTAATTTCAAAGAAATAACTTCATATTCAATTGCAGTTAATTTGGACTTCATTTCTGCTAATCATAATTTGACCAATAAGTATTTTCCTCAAAGCATGAAGGACAGTCCTTAGAATTTAAAAGTTTCGTGTTCCAAAAATGCTGCTCTTCTTAAGCCACTTTGAAGTAATGCTAGTGAATCTAAGATCCAGATCTACATGTTAATCTCTAGTTTTGCCTTCAAACAGAATTCAGCTACAAAGAACTTGGAAAGATTTTGAATCTATTCAGGAGAGGAAAACTCTTTAATTTTCTGAGGAGTAAAAACTCCCCAAGAAACTTCATATAGCTTCTTAGATTTTGCTTAGCATACGTGATAAAACATTGATTGTTGCAGTTTGGTGACCCATGAAATTTGGGGGTTAGTTTTCTCTTCAGACCAGAGCATATAATTATGCAAATAAAGAGCTGTCACTGATCTAGTGAAATACTCACAAACACATGCACTCTGAAATTGGACAGAAAAGTGAAAATGGTTGGTGATGTGATGGTGCCATGGTTTGTTTTCCTGCCAAGTTTCCATCCAAGTTCATTATTCAAATTGTAAACTTTAAAAAGAGACGTATCATTCTTGGGGTGTTGGTTGTCTTTTCATTTCAGATTCTTTGTATTGGTACTGCAGGCTGGCTACAAAGTACAGTTCAACATTATTTTACCTATGACAGTCTCCCTTATTACCTAATGTAACAGCCAAGGAAGAAAAAGCTGAAAGATCTGGAAAGAAAGATGTAGGTCTTCTCTAGATTTCTTTCTAGAGACATGTTTCATGTGTGCTTCAAATAGAACTCAATTCCAACAATACAAAGCATATAGTGAAAGGTTTTACACAAACCTCAAGGCAAAGGACTGGGAAAAGTTGCCTGGAAGGCCTCATGGATTAAGTCAAATTTCCATTTTCAAGGTTTTCTTATATTCAAGGGGAAAATACTGGTCACTGCGTGATATCCACTTCATGGTCAAACTTTCAGGATGATTTTTTCTATCTAGCAGTTAAAGCACACGATATAATATCTGGTGACTTTAACCTTTATGGTTCATTTACAATTACCACTCCTCTAAAACCTTTGTGCTAAGAATTAACAAGAGTTCTTCAATCTAACCATGCTCTTTGGCATTGAGGTCTCCCAATTCCAACATTACCATTGCATAGGCTGTTGCATAATTTTAGATGTCATGGAGAGTCCCCCTGATGAAATCTGAGAAGGCTCATGTCAGACCACTGACTGCTAAAGACATCACTACATGAAAGATCAGCTGTGTGAAACTTTAAAAACATGAACCCAAATGAATCAATTAAATCAACATTCATCCCTCTTAAGTGTGAGGTTTAAAACTATCATTGTTGCTTTTTTTTTTTTTTTNTTTTGCCCTACATAGATTTTAAGATAAACCCTGGAATGCTTTGATGGGCTACTTCTATTCTCAAATATCCGTTAATCGACTTTGTGCTATTTCCCTCTTTTCAATATCTTCCACTTGGTGTACATTCTTTACTTTTAGTACAGTGCATGACAGTTGCCGTGCTGTAAATCTAAAACCGCCTAACAAAGCTCACGCTTTAGGTAGGATAGCTTTAAGCTCTGTGAAGTGTTGATTAAAAACCCTTTCCCAGACTCAAACTGATCTTTTTGGAGATTAATAGAATATTAGATAAAAGGAAGACGAACAATTCAAGAGACTCCCACTCAGTCACTCTATACAAGGAAGGAAGGAAGGAAAGTATTCAATTTTTGAAAAGGAGTACCTCCTGGAGTCTTTTATTTTATATTATTACAACCCCTAATAAGTAATCATAAAATAACCACATTATCCTTTCTTCGCCACCCATATTTCAAAGATGAGAATGTCTCACATTTATTTAAAGACATTTTCTCTACAGAGGCATGGGGAAAGTTTTTGAGATTTTAGACTTTCTGTAATCTTTCTTAAATGAATCAGGATTACAGACTCCAAAAGGAACCTGTCAGTTCACAGTTACAATCTATGATTATAACAGGATACACACGTGTTTGGATTGGGACTCCAGATAACCCAGAGAAACATGAAACAAATCTAAGCTATTAGCATTTGAAATATAGTTAACATATTTTTGTCACCTCCCACACTCTCCCAAAGGAGTTATAGGTTTTTTAAAGAAGGAAAAGTTGTAAAATCAATGTAAATAAGGTATTTTCAGAATAGATGAACAACCTGTGTAGAGATTTGAGGGTAACTTAATCTTACTAGACATCTTACGGAAAACACATTTGTTTATGATGTATTAAAACTGAATTTAATGAAACAATAGCTTCATAACAAGTTCAAATTTCCTTGTAGCTAAGATACTTTAGAAGTTAAAAACAAATGACTTAAAAAAGTTAGCCTTGTGAATGGTCCGAGCCAAACAGTCACTCAACTGAAGTTAAAATGTAACTTTACAGCAACACTAATACAATAATAGTAGTAATAAGCAGCTATGAGGTTTAAAACATTGATAAATGCTGGACCATCACTCTTTTTAAGTTTCTGCTTTTATTGACCTATATACAGAGTAAAGGAACTTCTGAGCAAGAATAATACGCTGCTGCTTGTTGGGAAAGTCATTTTTATTTTAAAACAGTAAACAGAATATATAATATTTAGGAAACTCCTGTGCTTTTTATTTTTTCGTAGAAACAATAACACAGTCCAGGTTGAAGCACAAGGCAGAGACTTGGTAAAAGTACAATTATTACAAGTAGATTCTTCCCCTTCAAATAGTCATGAAAATTTAACGGCATATGGTTTGGTGCCTTTAGAAAGCCCCAAAGCCAATATCTGGCTTTTAAGTTTTTAACAGGACTATTCTGAATCTTAGATTTATCAACAACTACTTGCTTCCCATTCCATTTGCTCTAAAGAACTGAATACATAATTTTTAAAAAAGCACCCACACTCTAACTTTAACCCTCTACTCCTCTAAAAATCTGTCTAAAGAAAACCAAAGTGGAGAGGAAACGATCAGAGCAAAAATATTGTTAACACTTGTCGCCTCCAAGCAGGCGGACTACTACCAACTGGTTGTTACTCCAGGATAATTGAGGTGGATGATACTATTACATTTATACCAACACACCCATAATCAACATTAAAAAATCGTACATTACAAGGAATCTTATCAGTTATCAGTTGGAGGTTTGGGATGGTTTGTCTAGCTCTCCGGTGGCTACAGCTCAGATCCACAAGTAGAAATTATATTTACACAACTTAGGTTTGCAAATAGCTCTCTATAGATAGTTAAATAAGGCCTAAGGACCCAGTAGTTTAAAAGTACGAAAGGCAATTAAACAGTGATTAACTCTAGTTACAGGTACAGGTTTTTAAAAAGGTAGGTGAGAAAACTGAAGAGAAAGAATAGGAGTAATTAGATTTATAAACTGAGCATATTTACTTTGCTGTAATTCAGCTGCAGAAGCTTCACAAATTTAGCATTGCACAAATGCTGATTAAAAAAAAATGCAATAAAGTTAGTTTCCTGTGAACATTTTCATATACTGAAAACACCATACAATTTATAATACTTTGAAAAACATATTCAAGCGACACAAATTCTCAAATCCTCTCAATAGAGGTAGCATTTTTTTTTTACACAGTTCACCTTTACTTCTAAAACAGAAAATATTGCAGACCAACATGCTTGACATTGTTGGGGTTATACATTTTAAGTCATCCAGAAGCTGAATAAAATGACGCTTTGATTTTTCCTATGTTTCTGCTAAAATAATGTCAAAAAATATGCATGTATGACTACTACAAAAAATCACTTTAATTTGCCATCATTGAAAGTGTAAGAACTAATTAATGTACTTGTATATGAAAAACAGCTATCATCAGTCTTAAAATTTGCTGAAATAGGTTCATAATATAAAAACATTTTATCCATGAGGTGGTTATTTTAAGTTATTTTTCTGAGGAGTCAGACAATTCTCAGTCATTTTGGGTACATGTTACCGTGTCCTCAAATAAGGCAGGCATACTGTTGCATATACTTTAAATAAAAAAGGATGAAGAAACATTAAATTTCATCTATCAGAAACAGAATGTTCATCAGGTAACTAAATTCTTCTAGTAATGTTAATATTTAATAGTTGAATGTAAAAGTCCATAAAATCTTTTTTTTACCTCTTGTATTTCACAGTGTTGGCCAGATTTTAGCTGGATTAAAATCCTTAGTTATTCAAACTGTAGGGTAAAATCCTACAGAGGAAGTGGACCACTAAAAATTATACCATTGGATTGACAGGTGAAAATCTTTCATACCAGGTTTATTCCTTTCTGTTGGGGCAGAAAACTGAAGGAGTCA